ATGCCCCCCCGGGGATTCACAGAACGCGATCCGGGCGTGGTAAGTTGGATCCATTTGGGCTCACCCCCCTTCGCGCGGACTTCAACAAGTTACAGTAGGAGGCAGGAAGCAGGACTGTAACATTGGAGACTTGAAATTGAAAGTGGTGCAGGGAGCAGCACACTTCGGCCTACAGCAGCGCGCGCGGAAATTGGCGTACCGCGCGGCTTCGCCCGCTTGGGGCTCTGGGGCCCTTCGCATGTTTCTCAGAGGAAATGGCGAGCTCTCGGGAGCAGAGGTACCTGGAGCGATCACGCGGGAACGCGCGCTCGCGTGCGTGCAGCAGGGAAGCGAGCACACTGAAACTCACAACCGCGTCGTGAAAGCGAACGCGCGCGTGAATCTCTAATATCCGACGACGTCGTCGTCGGCGTCGTCGTCGTCACCTAGTGATGCTGGAAGGGAATCGCGCGTCGCGGTCTGGACCAGAGCGACGGCCCTCCTTCAAGGGGCTTTTCGCGGCGGCGCGAGCGTGCGGAGATAGTCGCGCGTGGCGTCTCGCTGTGCGCGAGGGCGCGAAGTCAGGTAACCTTGGAGAGCAGAGCGCGTGGGTGACTTTGTGCACGCCTCCGGAGATTCGGCGGCGAAATAGGGGGAAAGGGAAAAGGAGGTAACCTTCCCAGATGGCGGCGGGACTTCTCTGAGAGGTTTTCTATGACCTCGGGGAAGGCTCAGGGAACTTCTCAGAAGGCCCGGGGACTTCCGAGCCTTCCTAGAAGGCCCGCCCCGTCTGACTTCCTCCCGGGCTAGCCGCCGAGGAGAGGGAGGCCATGGTTCCAGCGCAGGCCCCAAACAGTGCACTTGTGCAATGTATGCGGCGCAACGCAGAGCAGTGCAAGACAATGAAGAGCGAAGCAGGACAGCCAATGGTCGGGACCCCACTGGCGGAACTGTGTGGCTACGGATAATCAGCGGCACCCCATACCCAGTTTTCCACACCCCAGGCGAGAGCTCCTAGGTGCAAGCGCTGCCCGGCTGCAGAACAGCGCGCGCACGTTTGCACACGCGTCCGGACAGATTGCGCACACGGAGATTTGACCTGCCGTGCGCCCTCGAGGGCCTTGGGGCCTCTTGCTGCTCGGGGGAGAAGGCGGGCTCTTCGGAGGACCTGGAACGATCGTGCGCCATTGCGCTCGCGAGAGCATGCGGCGACGATGATGATGATATATGATGATGATGGTGATGGTGATAAGGATGATAATGAAGATGACGATGATGACAATTATGATTATGATGATGATGATGATGATGATGATGATGATGATGATGGTAGTGGTGGTGATGATGATGGTGATGGTGATGGTGATGGTGATGATGATGATGATGATGGTGATGGTGATGGTGATGATGATGCGGATGATGATGATGATGATGATGAGGGTGATGGTGATGGTGATGATGATGCTGATGATGATGATGATGGCGAGGATGGTGATGTTGATGATGCTGGTGATGATGATTGATGATGATTGATGAGGATGATAATGATCATGATCATGATCATGATACTCATGCTGATGATTATGGCGATGACGATGACGATGACGATGATGACAGAGATGAGGAGACCGATGCGGATGAGGATGATGTTGATGATGATGTTGATGATGTGGATGACAATTATGATGATACTAATGATGACGATCACGATGATTGCGACGACGACGATCATGATGATGATGACAATGATGATGATGATGATGATGATGATGATGATGATGATAATGATGATACAGGTGATGAAGATGCTGATGATGGTGGTGATGCTGATGACCATGACGATGCTTATTATGATTCTGATGATAATGACGATAATGATGGTGGTGCTGCTGATGATGATGGTGGTTGCGGTAGTGATGGCGACGATGACGATGATGATGATGATGATGTTGCTGATGATGATGGTAATGAGTATGATGATAATGAGGAGGATGAGGAGGATGAGGAGGATGGTGATGCCGATGCTGATAATACTGATGACGACGATGATGATGATGACGATGATGATGATGATGATGATGATGAGAAGCCAGAGGAGGAGGATTACGATGCAGATGATATTATGATGATGCCTATGTTGATGCTGTTGCTGATACTGACGATGATGCTGATGGTGATGATGATGATGGCGGCGATGATGAGGGTAACGATGCTAATGGTCATGATGACGATGGTGGTGATGATGGTGATGGTGATTGTGATGATGATGATGATGATGATGATGATGACCATGCTGATGATGACGATGATGGCGATGATGGTGATGTTGATGGTGATTATGATGGTGATGGTGATTGCGATGAAGACGATGATGATGATGATGATGATGATGTTTATGATGATGACGATGATGATGTTGATGACGATGATGCTGATTATGATGACGACGTCGATGATGATGATGATGATGAGTCGACGATGGCGATCATGGCCCTGGTGATGATGATGCTGATGATGATGATGACAATGCTGATCATGCTGATGCTGATGCTGATGATGATGCTAACGCAACTGATGATTGCGACTACGATGATCATGATGATGGTGATGGTAAAGATGACGATGTTGCGTGTGATGATGATGACGGCAATGTTGATGATGGTGATGGTGTTGAGGATGATGATGGTGACGGTCATGGTGAGATTGGCGATACTAAGTTTAGGATGAGGACGAGGATGATGTTGATGATGACGATGATGGTGACGACGACCATTCTGATGATTGCGACGGCGACGGTGATGATGGTGGTGATGGCAATGGTGATTGTGATACATGTGGTGATGATGATGGTGGCGATGCTGATGCTGATGCTGATGATTATGATGATGATGATGATGATGACCATGGTGATGATGATGCTGATGCTGATAGTAATGGTGACGATTATGATGAGGTTGGGGGTGAGGATTACGATGGTGATGCTGATGAGATTGATGCTGAGGCTGTCGCTCATGCTGATGATGATTATGATGCTGGTGACGATGATGATGATGATGTTGCTGATGATGGCGACGGTGATGATGATGATGTTGATGATGGTGATGCTGATGATTGTTACGGTAATGATGATGACGATGGTGGTGATGGGGATGGAGATGGTGATGATGACGATGATGATGATGACGGCCATGATGGTGATGGTGATTGTGATGATGACGATGATGATGATGATGATGAAGCTGATTCTGATGATGATTACGATGCTGGTGATGGTCATGGTGATGGTGATGGTGATGGTTATGATGCTGTTGATGATGATGCTGGTGATGATGATTATGATACTGACGATGATGATGATGCTGCTGCTGCTGATGATTAGGACGACGATCATGAATCATGATGATGGCGGCTATAATGATGCTGGTACAGGACATGATGATGATGATGACGATCATGATGCTGAGACTGATGATGCTAACGGTGACGATAATGGGATGAGTGCGATGATGCCTATGATGATGACGATGATGCTGATGATGACGACTATGATGATTGTAGCGACGACGGTCATGATGATGGCAATGATGATGATGATGATGATGATGCTGATACAGGTGGTGATGATGATGATGATGACGATCGCGATGATGCTGATGCTGATGCTGCTGATGGTGGTGATGATGATGACCATGTCGATGCTGATGATGATTCTGGTGATGATGATAGTGATGGTGCTGCTGCTGATGGTGATGCTGATGGTGATAGTGATGGTGATGATGACGAGGATGGTGGTGGTGGTGGTGACGATGAACGGTGACGATGACGATGCTGTTGATGATGATGGTGATGGTGATGGTGAGGGTGATGGCGATAAGGATGAGGATGATGCCGATGTGGATGATTATCATGACGTCGACGACGATGGTGATGATGACGATGATGATGATGATGATGATGATGATGACAAGGAGGAGGAAGAGGAAGAGGAGGATTACGGTGATGATATGGTGAAGTTGATGCTGATGTTGATGCTGATGCTGATACTGACGATGATGATAACGATGCTGATTAGGATGATTGTGATGATGCTGCTGATGATGGTATTGATGATGATGCTGATTGTGATACCGATGATGATGATGACGATGATGCTTGTGATGATCATGATGATGAAGATGAAGCTGATGATGATGATGCTGCTGCTAATGATGATGCTGATGAATACTATCATGATAACGACGGTAGTGACGACGACGATGGTGATGATGATGATGATGATGATGATGGTGATGATGGTGATGATGATGAGGAGGAGGAGGGGGGTGAAGGAGGGGGAGGAGGGCTGATGTGAGGTTGTGGTGGTTGTGATGATGAGAACGGTGGTGGTGGTGCTGCTGCTGCTGCTGATGATGATGATGATGATGATGATGATGATGCTTCAGATGGTGATGATGCTCCAGATGCTGCTGCTGCTGAGGAGGAGGATGGACGAGGAGAGGGGAGGAGCAAGCAAGCAAGCAAGCAAATCTCGCGGAGTCTCCCTGCGGCCTCGGCTACGCATCTAAGCCTCGGGCAGCCACTTCGGACTCTGAGGGGGTGGCCAGTCACCTACGATTGTCTCATGCGCCTTGCGGCGTGCTGCACGATCCCGCACGGCGGGCACTGGCCCTGGCCTACACCCTCCAGGGCACACCATCCCATGAGGGGCAGGCCGATAGGCGCGATGCCCACATCAGGATCATCACATCAAAAACTGTTAGCACCTAGAGGGCAGGAGGAGAAAAACAACAACAGTCAGCCAAAACTCGAGCGACCCTTGCCTTTGCCCTGTCCCTTGCGTGCAGGGGAGAGGCGAGCGGAGGAGGGCCTCGCGAGAGGAAGGGTGGTGATGGGAATGTGGGGCAGGTCGGGGTGCTCGTAAGACTGCACCTGGCCCGTCGCTCTGGCGGCAACCTCAGCCGAGACTGCGCCACGCGCCACAAGCATAGCCAGCCTCTCACTCGATGCCAGAAACCGCGAACCTACGCCGTGCCCTTGCCCTTGCCCTTGCCCTGCAGCAGGCGGCTGATCTCCCTCTCCAGAGGGCCCCGCGGAGCTGCGCCCGTCAACCTCGTGCCGCCTGCCTTCGTGAAGAGGGAGCGGATGGTCGCGTTCAGGTCGTCGGCGGCACGGTGCGAATGGTCGAGGGCCCACGCGAAGTGCGCCATCTTCTGCACGCCCTCCTGCGGCTTGTGGACCTTCAGCTTGAACATGCGCACCAGCTGGCCCATCTCTTGGAGTTCATACTTCGAGACCTCCGCCAGCGTCCCACGAACCAGATCCTGCATCTCCTCGTCCGCATACGCCACCTGGCCCGCTGACAGTCACGAAATCAGGATGTAGAGGTGAGGGCTGCCCCGCGACTTCCAGTCGACCTCGTCCCCGTTCTTCACGGCCTGGCGAAGCTCCTGGCTGCGGTCGTCGTACGCCTTGCCAGCCTTGACGCACGCCTCCACCAGACGGCAGTCCGCCGGCACCATCATCCTGTCGTACACCGTTGCGGTGACCTCTGCCAGCTCGCGGGAGTTGGTGAGGACCAAGCGCGCCATCGTCGTGACCAGCGCCGCGGCGTTGTTGCCCCTGGCGCCACCCCCGCCTCCCCCCGCCGCCGCCGAAGCTCCTGCCCCGTCCGCCGATGCCGCCGCCGCCGCCTCGGTGTCTGCACCGTTGTTGTCCTCGCCTCTGCGCTTCTTACGCGGATCCAAGACCACGTTGAACCAAGGAGGAAGGGGAACAGCAGCTGGGGCCGCAGGCTGCTCGGGCATCGCGGCGCTGGAACTGAAGGGCCGCCGACCTGGAGACGGCCACGGGCAGGCGCTGGGCAACCAGATGGCTACACAGAGAGAGTCCAGGTCCCCAAACTCACCAGAGCACATGCGACACGTATAAGCACGAGGTTGCAGAAGAGGCGCGAGCGTTCGACCTCCTTGGGGCGGGCATCGGCCCCTCATCATCGAAGTAAGTAAGCGTCATCCAGCGCACCATCTATCTCGGAATGTATGCCTGCAGCAAAAGCATATATTGGTGGGAGTCAATACTGCTGCCAGATTACGCTTTATGAGCTCATCATCACACCCAGGTTCAGGACATCTACAAACGAAGGGGCGTGGACCCTGGGGGTGCCGATCAGGACCATCTTCCCGACAGGGCAGTTGGGGGTTAACCCAGCCCTCGGGCCTAGGCGGTCCTGGCGGCGGAATCGCCACCGCGAACGCCCGTCTTCTAATCTTCGTGACATCGACAGCCCGAAGGTCCTCGCAAGCCTCTAGTTCGGAGAAAAGGCGAACGTCCGACGCGAAGTCATCGAACACCCCCTCATCCAAGATACGTCCTGCCAATTCGAGATCCGTGACAACTTGCCGAGCCCACGGGGAGGCCCTCCTGGTAAGTTGGCCGTTCCTGGTGGGGGCCTGTCCGAGTCGATATTCAGGGCACCGAACAGCGCGATGAGAACCTGCGATGAGCCCACGGGGTCATTGGCCCACCCTTGGTACAGACGGAGGCGGCGGATGTGCATCTCCTCCCTCGCTCCTGAGAGGGGAGGAGGAGGAGGAGGAGGAGGAGGAGGAGGAGGAGGAGGAGGAGGAGGAAGAGGAAGAGGAAGAGGAAGAGGAAGAGGAAGAGGAAGAGGAAGAGGAAGAGGAAGAGAAGAGGAAGAGGAAGAGGAGGAGGAGGAGGAGGAGGAGGAGGAGGAGGAGAGGAGGAGAGGAGGAGGAGGAGGAGAGGAGGAGGGAGGAGGAGGAGGAGGAGGAGGAGTTGGGGGTGAGGAGGAGGAAGAGGAGGAGAAGAAGGAGGGAGGAGGACGAGGCAGGAGACTGAGGAGGAGGAGGAGGAGGAGCAGCAGCAAGCAGGATAAGGAGAAGGAGAAGGAGAAGGACAAGGAGAAGGAGAAGGCGAAGGCGAAGGAGAAGGACGATCAGGGAGGAGTGGGCGGAGAAGGATAAGCAGAGCAGCCAGCCAGGCAAGACCTCCTCCCGCTCCGCCGCCAGATCCCCTGGCAGCCCGTCACCGTGCCAGTCCGCTCGAGCTTCGGCGGCGCCGCCGCCGCGCCCGCGGGGCAGCAGGCAGCGGCGGCCGCCGGCACTCTTCCCCTGGGGCTGCCGCCGCTGCGGCCTCCCTGCTCCTCAATCCTCCTCACTCCCTCCTTCTCCTCCGCCTCCTCCTCCTCCTCCTTCTCCTCCTCCTCCTCCCTCCTCCTCCTCCTCCCTCCCCTCCTCCCCCTCCCTCCCCTCCCCTCCCTCCCTCCTCCTCCTCCTCCTCCTCCTCCTCCTCCTCCTCCTCCTCCTCCTCTGCCCGAACCATTGAGGCCCTCGTCTGGGAGCCACACAACTACTGACAGCCGCTAGGTCTCTGTAAAGACTGCAGAGACCGATTCTCGTTTCTGGGAAGACAGCCTCTCATCATTCGTTTGATGGCCAGCTGGCCAAAGTCCGCTGCCTTATGGCAAGGCAACGTAAGCGATTTCAGCTGTCTGAACGAATGCGCTCCGCAGCGCCAGCATGCAACAGCCGCATTGTTCTGCTTCCAGACAGGCGGCGCGGTGTCCAGGGACACCAATTTGTGTGGGTGCTCCCCCCGCGCCTCGAGCGCTCGAGAAGCCTCGGAAGCACGGCTGACAATCGGACCTGGGCACTCTGCCTGTCCATGTGCAGAGACGACGCGACACCTACGACACCAACGGCGATCGTCGGGGCCATGCCAGTCATGCACAAGACACTTACTACGCAGCACCGGGCCAGACAAGCCACAAGGACGAGGCCGAATCGGTCGAGCTGAGTACCGAACCGCTACACAACCACGACTATCAACGGCCGCCCCTACAGCGCCTATCCAATGAGCTATCCGCTCCACCATCGTGTGAGACTTCAGACGAGACTTCCTCGCCTCGGCAAGCACACGCGCACGAGAAGCAAAATGCTTGGCCCACAAATCAGCCAGACTGTTTCCAAACTGATCACTCCTGGACACGAACCCCGACTCAACGGCCTAGAAGGGAAGATGCGCTTTAATCTTTCGCACCACCAAGTCGCCGTCCCCGAGACCACCAACATCGTCCAGGAGATTCCAACAAGCTTTACAAAAGGAGGCCCACGCACAGCAATACGAAGTGGTGCGCTCACGCCCTCTCTCGCAGATACTGTCAACAACGAAGCTACTGTCACTGACGGCCTGAATCGGAGGCACAGCTACTTTCAGAAGTTGGATGGGAGCTGAAAGCTCAGCACCATCGGAGTCCCGCACGGGACCTGTACAAAGCCTACACACCACATCCAGGACTCCGAGCGGATCCGACGTGAGCGTGACGATGGCCTTCTCGGCCTGGATCAAGCCAAGTCCAGAATGCTGCCGCCACCCAATCTGCTGATGAGATGGTGGACTCCAGCCATCAGGGACTTGGGTAGCGGTAGCCACCCACAGACATCCCTCGAGCAAGAGCTTCACAGGCGGCTGATCAGCCCGATCCGTTAGGGCCCGAAATTCGGGGAGCAACAGGAGCCTGTCAGCTCCTTCACAGAAGGAATGGCTGTGGATGAGCGTCCTGGCAGTCTCGCAGAGCAAGCAGTCCCTCCTCTTCCTCCTCCTCCTCCTCCTCCTCCTCCTCATTTCGCTTCCTCCTCGTTCTCCGTCTCCTCCTCCCTCCTCTCCTCTGTCCTCCTCTTCCTCCTCCTCCTCCTCCTCCTCTTCCCTTCTCCTCTTACTCCTCCTCCTCCGCAGAAATGTTCGTTCAAGCAGACCGAGCCCCAATGCTCAAGTCGGCAAGCTTCTGCCCAATGGCCCCTTGCGACGTCGGCGGCGTTGGAGCTCCATCGGACCGGTGACATTGGGGATCGTCGCGGTGGGAGGTGGCTACGGGATTCGCCCCTGGTGTGTGGCGAGTCATGGAGAGCAGTGCAGCTGCGCGCGAGGGCGGCAGCTGCAGCAGACAATCTCGCGAGGAGGCCCACGAGCAAGAAGGCAGCGCCGACGGAGCGGCTGGAGGAGCTTAGGACGGTGCTCGGCAACGATTCCGAGCTCTTGACGCGACTCAACTCGTGGCCCCCGTCCTTGCCGCCGCGTTGACGGGTCGCCTCCTGACCGAGTTGTAGGTTGCGAGGCGCAACGCGGCTTCGCATGGCTTTGGTATCCTTGCGAGCGCCTTGGCTGAGGCATTACAGACCGAGCTAAACTCCATCCAGAGGTGCTTCTAGGCTTTGGTGCCAGCGGTGGGGGCCGTGCAGCAGGAGGCAGTGCTGGCGGAGCAGTCGCTGCGAGCCGACGCGGTGGAGTTTGTGCCCGTCGCAGGCGCCGTTGTCCCCATGATGGAGCACGTCGGCGTTCGGTGCACGTGCGGCGCCGTGGCGTTTTCGAGCATCCTGGATCCCTCCGAGGTGGTGTCCTGGAGCCTGCTTGCCGCAGGCGGCGGCGCTGTTGGGGCGTTGGGGCCCCTACAGGTGACGATTGCCCTGCCGCTGGCGTCGCAGGCGCCGCCGCCGAAGAGGAAGTGGAAGCTGATGCCGACCCCCAGTCCGACGCCGAGGCCTTGTTCGACTCGTTGCCCGACGACTTGCCCGGCACGCAGCCCGACGCCGAGCCCGATACGTTCTCGCAGTTCTTTTTCCCAACCATCCTGTGGTGTTGGGTCCTCGTTTTGAAGAGACGGTCCCCGCGTTCCTCCTCTCCTTCTCTCCTCCTCTCCTCCTCCTCCCTCCTCCCCTCCTCCCCCCTCCCCCCCTTCCCTGCGTTTCACCCACCCAGTACAGCGCTTCGTGGCCCCATAGGGAGCTCCACCGAAGGCCCCAGTGCCACCGTCCACATGCGTCCCCCCCACTCAGTACAGCGCTTCGTGGCCCCATAGGGAGCTCCACCGAAGGCCCCAGTGCCACCGTCCACATGCGTCCCCCCCACTCAGTACAGCGTTTCGTGGCCCCATAGGGAGCTCCACCGAAGGCCCCAGTGCCACCGTCCACATGCGCCCCCCCCACTCAGTACAGCGTTTCGTGGCCCCATAGGGAGCTCCACCGAAGGCCCCAGTGCCACCGTCCACATGCGTCCCCCCCACTCAGTACAGCGCTTCGTGGCCCCATAGGGAGCTCCACCGAAGGCCCAGTGCACCGTCCACATGCGGGAATTTTAGCACTGTGATAGCTCCACCGAAGGCCCCAGTGCCACCGTCCACATGCGTCCCCTGCACCCAGTACAGCGTTTCGTGGCCCCATAGGGAGCCCCACCGAAGGTCCCAGTGCTACCGTCCACATGCGTCCCCCCCACTCAGTACAGCGCTTCGTGGCCCCATAGGGAGCTCCACCGAAGGCCCCAGTGCTACCGTCCGCATGCGTCCCCCCCACCCAGTACAGCGCTTCGTGGCTCCATAGGGAGCTCCACCGAAGGTCCCAGTGCTACCGTCCGCATGCGTCCCCCCTCACCCAGTACAGCGCTTCGTGGCCCCATAGGGAGCCCCACCGAAGGTCCCAGTGCTACCGTCCGCATGCGTCCCCCCACACCCAGAACAGCGCTTCGTGGCCCCATAGGAAGATCCACCGAAGGCCCCAGTGCTACCGTCGCATGCGCC